ATTAGTACCAATATCTGCATCAGATGCTCTCTCTAAAGGGAATTGGGTTCCAGATGCTGTTGTCAATTCTGCTATGCTCAGGATCTTTTCCATGGCTGAAAAGACGGGAGCATTGTCATTCATGTCTTTGATTTCAACCTCCACATGGAAGAACCTCAGAGGTTTCTCCACAATCACCTCCAGATGAAGGACACAGTCTGCATTCTTGGCACACAGCTCCTCCCTGTCTATCCGGGAATTTACAAACAAGATCCCATTCTGCAGGTTTACCTCAAAATAGTCCTTCTCTCCTTTGGACAGCATCCGGAACATCCGAGGCACCAGCTCGCTCACCTCCAACCCCAAATCCTGGGAGATGCGGCCCACAAAGGTGCCGTGCTGGGATTCCTCCAGCACAGAATAATAGAGCTGGCCGCTCCCCATTTTCCAGGCGATGTAGAGCAGAAGCAGCTGCAGCAGCCCCTTCGGCCAGGTAAGCATTGCAGACACAAACACAACACCAGCAAGCTCTTCTCTTTTTCTCTAAATATCTTGCTTCAAGGGTGTCAGGAGCAGAGCCCACCTACCCCAGCCATACTGGTTCATAGGTTGAATCTTGGCTTGTTGAGATTTTTCTGTTGTTTGATATTTCTCCTGTGGATCCAGTTGGCAGGAATGTCTGTCCCTTTAAGGGAGGGGCTCTGCATTTTCAGTTTCACTTAGAGAGTTTCCTTAGGAAACAGCGACCTCTTGTGACTGAATTTCAAACTGATGAAACAAATTTCCATTCTTTGTTCACAACAGATTTCTAATAAACTTCCAGTATTGATGAGCATGTATGTTTCCATAGACAAATTGGAGTTAATTCATATATTTCTGTATTAGTGTAACTTTCATTGTCATTTTTCCTCTAATCATTGAATCAGCCCTAAGAAGCGTAATAGCCAAGTTTCAGCATACGGATTCAATACTGTTATCAAGTATCTAATGAGAGGAAAAAATAACTAGGTACTACAGAGAGAAATGTGTGTCTTATCATACATACAGTAGATACTTGATTTCCACATATTTGGAGATTTAGTAGGCCCAAGATTATGGGAAGAAATCCTCAGGTCAAAGGATGTGCAGGATATTTAGAAATGTCTCAAAATTAAGATATTGTTGATACAATTGCATACTATTCCCATGAGAAGAAAAAAGGTGTAATTTAGAAGAACATTGTGGATACATAGGAAGCTTTGGACTGAAATAAGACTGAAAAACATGTATAGAAAATAGAATGTTGGCATTATCATCAAATAAGTTTATTAGCAAGCAGACATGTCTGTAAAAAGAAAATAAGAAAGGCTGAAATTTAAAACGTATTTTAGGTTCCAAGGAAAACTAAGAGCAATCAAAATCAGTTTTGGGTTTCGTCAGTAATATATGAAAGGAAAGGGGGGGGGATTTGGTGTTATGACAGGATGGTAAAACAATAACTAGTGAGAGGGAGAGCTCAGAGCTCAAAGAATGAATGTAAAGTAATTGCTATAAAGATGAAGTGACAACTAAGAAAAATAAAGAGAAATTTAAAGAGCATTTAGAAACCACAAACAAGTTTAAGTCTCCAGAAACTAATTAATTACATCTGACCTCACTTAATTCGCGCCCTGACTCTGACCCTGTTTCCCCTCCCCGCAATGTGTGTCATAAGTCACATTCCCCAATGAAGCAATCGTATAGGTTGTAGAAGTCACTCCCTCCAGCCACTGACGGTCTCCCTGAAGATGACCTTGACATTGCTGGCTGGAATGTGCTTTGTTTTGACTGCAAGTTCCTCAATGCAGCTGCGAGGCTCAATTCCCCATCACCCTGCCTATGGAACTCAAGAGCAGGTCAGGAATGCTTCGGGAGTTAACAATGATAGCTAGAGGTTAAACCATATGATTAACAGTTGACCAAACTAAGTACAGCCTAACAAAGAGAAGGATTGAGGAGACATGATAGCTTTCGTCCAGTACTTGTCACATGAGAAGGGGGTCCACTTTTTCTCCAAGCAACTGACAGCAAAACAAGAAACAATGGGTGGAAGCTCATTAAAGAAAGATTTAATCTGGATAAGGAGAACATTCCTGACAGTAAAAATAATTAATCAATGGAACAACTTGCCTCCCAGAATTGTGGGTGCTCCATCACAGGAGGTCTTCCAGAAAATATTGTAAGAGTTGTTCAGCAATAGAGGCACAGCTGGAGGTGTAAATGCTACTTTACTAGAAGTATGTAAGTAGAGTCAAGATGGTCATATGTATGAATGCTGTAGTAATGTATCCCTGGTGAAATCTGATGCTGAAGTGACAGAAGGAGTGAAACAGCTGAGTAGCCTTGAGTTCCTTTTAAGTGCTAAAGGGAGATCTCTCCTAAAACTTTAAAGTACCATATTTTTTGGAGTATAAGACACACCTTTTTCCCTCAAAAAAGAGGGTGAAAATCTGGGTGCATGTTATACACTGAATACAGCATTTTTGGCCTACCGAAACCCCGCACCCTTTGCAAAAATGGATGTACAGAGGATTTGGGAGGCTTGCAAAGTGCTCCTGAGGGCTGGGGAGGGCAAAAAAGAGTAAAACACTGGGGCATTTTGCCCCCCCCGCCCCTAGGAATGCTCTAAGAGCCTCCCAAAACTCTGCATGCCCTTTTTTTGCAAAAAAATGGACCGTTTTTTTCCTCATTTCCTCCCCAGTCCCCAGGAGCACTCTACAAGCCTCCAAAAGCTCTGCAAGCCCCTTTTTTTTGCATGCAGACGGTTTGGGAGGCCTGAAGAGGGCAAAAACTTTTTTTTAGTTTACCTCTTCAGAATCATGGTGTGTCTTATACTCCAGTGCGTCTTATAGTCTGAAAAATATGGTATTTACCCTAGTAGTTTTGTAGTGCTTTACTCTGAAAAGTCTTCTGTGTATAGTCAAGCAAAATAATCATATCGTATCATTATCATAGTTCCTTGCATCTGAGAGTATCTCTGCATTAGTTTATTTAATTTATTTCCAAGGTTTTTTCTATAAGTTATGTCTCTTTGATTCATAGACTATGTTTATTAGAGCTTTATTTATAACAATAATACAATCTTCTAGCAAATAATTAACTCTACTATTGTTCAGGTTTGTCTCAATTCTCTATTCTAAAAGGTATGGGAAGACCATTTTTATTGTGGTCTATTAATAAAATTGTGGACACTAACACTTATTAGTTCAGCAAATTTTCCTAAATGTGATCAATGTTTTAGCCCAAATTCCACTTTACCTGCAATCAGCTCATTTGTCCTGTGTTCAGTTCTTGGCATACTTTAAGAAGGATTCAGATAAACCTGAAGAGATTCAGATGAGAACAAGGATGATAATTGATTACAAGCTAATTAAAGGAACTGGGAATTCTTAAGAAGGGAAGATGGAGCAATAATATGTTAATTAACAATTAAACTGTTTTATGTGAAAGAAAACATAAAACAATGTAAGGGCCTATTTCCTATCATTCAGAGTGCAAGTCATGGTATACTACATTTCAGATACATGAAAAACAATACAAACAAAAGTACTAATTAAATTAGTGAATTTCAAAATTGAAAAGAAAAAAATCCTGAAAAAGAACTACATAAACAAAATAATTTTAAGGAAATGCTGTATGTTGAGGTTTTTTTATTTATTTTTTACAAATATATTGAATCAATGCATGGACAGTGTGGTACCTGGGTGTCATACATTCTTTCTAATACAAGTAAAACTGATAAAGTTAATCATAATTATTACATTCAATCAACTTATGTTTTTCTAATAATAATACATATTTATATTACATTGCAATCTATCATTATTCAATTATTCCATGTTTCTCTTGTTATTACTTTTATTTTATTATATAAAAATGTATACACTAATATTCCTCCTTCTCTTATTTCTATCACTTATTCTAGCTTTAGTCCTGTCACCCTTTATTAAAAGGCATTTTCTTTCTATTCTGTCTAATTTCTAACCATGTCACCCACCTACAAAAAGAAAAGAGAGAGAGAGAAAAGGAAAAACAAATCAGAACAGCAACAAAAAAGAGAAATCATCTTTGCCCACTTCAATACTTTAATTGCTATACTTTAAAGGAAAGAGAGAGAAGAGGAAAAGGAAATCAGAACATCAACAACAAAATTATCTATCCATCATCTCTTGCCCGCTTCAGTACTTTAATTGCTATGCTTCTTTCAAGTTGCCTCTCAAATTCCTTTTTTGGCTCTTTATTTCTGTCAGAATCTGTTTTTTGGCTATTCAATCTAAGTATTTCTCCCACTCCTACCCTCTTCCAGTGCCTAGTTCCCAAATTTTCTGCCCATGTCACTGTCTACCTTTCAAATATATCTTCCAACTCTCCTAATACATTTTCCCCCTGATTTAATTCATCAGTCACTGTTATTTCCATTGTTATCTCCTCTTTGTCTTTTTCTTCCTTCATTTCTTCTTCTGACTCCTCCCTTTCCAGGGCATCTTGTTCTTTACTCATCATCCCTCATATGGTATTTTCCATTTTTTCCACAATTCCCTTAAATCCTTTCTCCATGGTATCATTTGTGCTTTGAAAGAGTAATGCCATCTCCTTCGAAATTCCACCCATTTCTGCCCTATAAGGTACATTGTTTTATTTTTTAAAAATTCAACTTTTGTCCAACAATCCAAGAACTATTTATTCAGTCCTTAAGTTGCCCTTCAAGAAGTGCACTAATCCCAGTTTTCTGTATCCCGTAGATAAATAGTCAGTTCCATTTAAATAACCCAAAGTTTAGCCAAAGCCTCTTTGCATCCCCTTTACAAATTCAATCTTCTAACGTATCATTCAGGGGGCCTTATCTGGATTTCCAGTAGTCACAGGGTAGTTAAAAATAATCCAATGGATATTTTCACAATTCTTCATGCAGGTCTTCCCATGCTGTAAATTTCCTTTCGTCAGCAGTTGGCACTCCAAGTGTAAGTTTCAGTATTGCCACTAGTCAAGGTTCTTCTGGTTATAGAATGATTGTGAAAGCAGAATAGGTTTTGTAAGTAAATGATTCCAGCATTTTAAAAAGCCTTCCCTGTACCATTTCTCCCAATTTAAGAGTCCAATTTTCTGTATCTTTCTCTCCCACACCCCTCACTTCCAGTTTGGTAAATTCTCAGAATGCTTGGACACCACTTTTACAGATAGTTCTGAGCAAATAGTTCCAAATTGTCCTTTGGGATTAAATTTAAAGAGAATCCTCCCCCCAGATCCAGCCACTGTTCACCTGCTTCGCTCAAGCACCAGTCTTAGACAGTCATCAGTTGTCACAGCAGCCATCTTTAGCTGCCTCTTCTTCTTGCTGTGGCTGAGAGGTAAAGTAAACCCCAGGGTTCCAGGAGAGCTGCAACTCCCCTTAATCTCACATAGTGCCCCTCTTTGCTTCATCATCTCTCCAGGGTGGCTTTGGCCCCTCAGAGAGCTCACAAACAGGAAGAAT